ATATTGTCCAATTTTTAAAATTGTTATTATTTTTGTCCTGTTTCAAGAATTGCACAGACCAACTCTGTTTTTAGTAAAACCTGCACATTCGCTTCCATGTATTGTAACCAACTCCATCAGTCCTTACTCAACTATAGAAGTGAAACTTTAAGTGATTGAAAGAAGGTTTGTATATTTAAGGTTTTCTTTCCTTGAAAATTTCAGATTTGAGGCTTAAGCAACTTCTTCTGGGGAAGAGTGCCAGTGCAGCTGTTGTCGCAACTCAAGATCTTGATCCATATCCATAGGTTGGAATATTGGTGGGCCAGCAATCCTCAGACACCTCACTTAGGACAGGTAAGTGAAAGAGATACTTAAGGATAAGCAAAGTAGATTGAGGGCTAGTAGTCTTTCTTCCTGTTTATAGTCGGATGCAAACATTTTATTGCCTTTACAAATATAACCTTTGTCCTGGTAAAATCACTTGGAATCTTAGGTGAGTAGGGTGAAACATTTTCTTAAGTGTATAATGTGTGTCAAAATGTTTCATGATGGTAAAACTTAGAATAATTAAAATTATTTTTCTTTTTGTCTATTTTCTAGATTGTATTTATTAGCTGGTATTGCAGTTATCTACTGCTGTGTAACAAAGCACCTCAAACTTAGTGGCTTAAAACAACAGTCATTTATTTTGTTCATATATTTGCAATTTGGGCAAGGCTTGCTTGGTAGGGATGCTTGTCTCTGTTAACATATAGCATGAGGTAGGGTGGCCAGAAGGGTTAGAGTGACTCAGTTTCTGGAACTGGGATCATTTGAAGGTAGGCTTGTTCACTCACATATCTGGTGGTTAATGCTGGCTGTTGGTCAGAAGACCTTCATGGGACCTCTCCTTATGGCTATTTGGCTTCCTTACAGCCTTGGGTTCCAAGAGAGAGAGCATCCTGAGAGAGGAAGACAAAGGTGCATGGCATATTTGACTTGGTTTTGGAAGTCACATAATGTTACTTTGTGCTGTTCTACTGGTCGATGTAGTTGTAAAGGTCCTCCCAGGTTTCAAGGAGGACATGAACATAGATCCCACCACTTGAAAGGAATAGTGTCAACATCACATTGTAAGAAGAGCGTATGGGTGGAATCTAATGTTGTAGCCATCTTTGGAAAATATCGGCCACAATTTGTATTACTTTTAAGATAAAGAATATAAATAATATGTAATATATGAAAAAGGAATATTTATACCATATTTATGGTGTATAAGTTCAGTAAGAATTTGGTGTGTTCTTGTCTAGTAGCGTATGTATTGGAATTAAAATGCCTAAACAGAAAAAAGTAAAATAGATTTAGAATTTTCTTTCTTTCTTTTTTTTTTGAGAAGGAGTAATTTCTATTTGGTTTTTCTTTATCTCTGCTATTTCTTGGCTGATAATTTTTGTTTTCATATTTAGAATGTTGAGTTTTTTATAATAGTTGGAATTCTGGTGCTTTTTCTGGATTCACTTGTGATATTTACTTTACAGCGTCTTCAAATAGCTCTTTATGCAGTCCCAGTATTACAGTTTCGTTAACTGGAAGGTAACGGGAGATGTATTTTCTCCAACTTACCAAGCAAGAAATCTTTCTAACATTTTAAACTTTTTGTACTGAAATCATTTTAGATTCACAGAAAGGTATAAAAAGAGGAAAATGAAGTCCTTTGTGCCCTTTACCCAGTTATATCTGTCCTTTACCAAGTTGTATAGCTGTAGTACAATACCAAAACCAGGAAATTAACATTAATACCAACTTTTTATTATGAAGTATTTCAAATGTGCAAGACATATGTTAGAAGACATATGTAAGACATATGTTGTTGTAAGACATATGTTGAACATCTGTATATCCCCCACTGATATTTCAATGTTTTCATATACTTTATATATATATTCTAGTATGTATGTATTCTCTTTTATATAAACCACTTGAAAGTAAGTTACAGATATCATGATAATTTACCTCTAAGTACTTCAGCATGCATCTTCTAAGAAAAAGGATATTATACTTTAATAAACATTTATTATTAAATGCAAACTATTTTTCCCTATAACCCCAAGACCCTGTTCATACCTAAGAAAATTAACTATGAATTTTTTGGACAAGAGTGTTAATGTTCCAGGGCTTTTGTTTTGAAGCATGTTATATCCTATTCCTATTTTTTTTTTTTTTTTTTTTTTGTGACAGAGCCTTGCTCTGTTGTCCAGGCTGGAGTTCAGTGTCATAATCTTGGCTCACTGCAACCTCCATCTCCCAGGCTCAAGCGTTTCTTGTGCCTCAGCTTCCCAAGTAGCTGGGATTGCAGATATGCACCACCATACCTGGCTGATCTTTTAAAAAATTTTTTTTGAAACAGAGTCTTGCTCTGTCACCCAGGCTGGAGTGCAGCGGTGAAGTCTCAGCTCACTGCAACCTCCACCTCCCAGGTTCAAGTGATTCTTCTGCCTCAGCCTCCCAAGTAGCTGGGACTACAGGCGCATGTCACCACACCCGGGTAATTTTTGTATTTTTAGTAGGGACAGGGTTTCACCATATTGGCCAAGCTGGTCTCGAACTCCTGACCTTGTGATCCACCCACCTTGGCTTCTCAAAGTGCTGGCTGGGATCACAGGCATGAGCCACTGCACCTGGTGTCTTTTTTTTTTTTTGTATTTTTAATAGAGACAGGGTTTCGCCATATTGGCCAGGCTGGTCTTGAACTCCTGGCCTCAAGTGATCTGCCTGCCTTGGCCTCCCAAAGGGCTGGGATTACAGGCATGAGCCACCACACCCTGAAGGCTTATATTATTGTTCAAGGATGTATCCCTCCTGATGGTATACTCTTGGTGATTATTTTGAGAGTCTGGGCTCTCACCATGTGTGCAATTCAGAGCCCAGGGAACTCCCTGATTCTCTATTCTTGTCTCTCATTCTTTCCTCCTCTCAGTCTTCTCACGACTCCCTGAGCAAATACTCAGAACAGTCCTCATTAGGAGATTGTAACTTTGTCAGACTAATTTAGGACTAGTATGTAACTTTCTTTTTAATTATTAACCAGGAAAAAATTTACAGTTAAAATTGTGGTAAAGTTTCTGATAAGGTGATATATAATGGTTGAATCAAGCTGTAAGCAATTGAAAACCTGACCATAAGGCTTACATAAGTCTGAAGTCAGCAGTTGCTCATGTTGCTTTAATGGCTCAACATTGTTGGGGCCTATGAATTTGTGATTTGCTTGGCCTTTCGTGGTCTTGAGACAGCTATTGCAGCTCCAGCCTTCTACCTACATTCAAGGAAGAAGGAAAAAGACCAAGGAAAAAGCTTTCTTATTAGTGATTCCAGCAAGTCATTTCCAATGTCCCAAGGGCCAAAATTGGGCCATATGGTTGGTCACCTCTAGCTGTTTTCATCTTTTGGCCTCTGTAATGAAAGGCAAGGAGGGAGTAGGGATTTGGGAATGGCTTTTTGAGTAGCCAGTTAACATCTGTCAGTTACATGATTACATTCATTTTATATCAAAATTGTGTTCATTTGACTTCAATGTGATGTTCAGCTTTATTATTACGTAATATTTAACTGGGTATTGTGGAGAACAAAAGGACTAAAAATAGTAAAGATAATTTTAAATTTAGTTGTGAAGGTGCGCTTTTGATAATGCAAAGTGAAACTTGGCTTGAACCTTGGAACCTTGGGCAAGTTATTAAATTTATAAGCCTCTATTTTCTCATCTGTAAAATGGAATTAATAATATTTGACTTTTAGGGTAATTGTGAAATATGGAGGAGATAATTTATGTAACATACCTAATACTATGCCTGTTACATTGGAAGTGCTACAATGGAAGATATTTTAATTGTTTGGTTTATGGACATGGGGGTAGAGTGAGAGAGCATAGACTTTAAGGTAGACAGATGATATTTGATTCCTAGTTACACTACATAGTTGTGTGTTTTCAGGCAAATCAATTAATCTCTCTAAGATAGTAATGTAGTGTGTAATCTCTGAGTCTCTGAGGATTGTTAGAAAGATTAGGTGTTATATGTACAGTGCAATACTTTATGGGCTCTCAGTAAAAGGTATCTGCTCCTGCTATTTTTAATTATTTTTATGTTTTAGGCTCCATATACCAGGGAATCAGTCATTTAATTTATTCTAGAAATTCATTTGTGATGAAAGATGTATTGTTGATTAGTAGTATTTTTCTTCATCTTTTGAAGAAAAAATAGCTGCAGAAACTGGATTTGAATTATTTTTCACGATGATTAAAAAATTTTTGGCCAGGTGCAGTGGCTCACACCTGTAATGTAATCCTAGCACTTTGGGAGGCTGAGGCAGAGGGATCACTTGAGCCGAGGATTTTGATTCCAGCCTGGGCAAACATAGTGAGACTTTATTACAAAATATTCTAAAAATTAGCTGCATGAGGTCCAAGATACGAGGCTGAGGCAGGAGGATTGCTTGAGCCCAGGAGTTTGAGGCTGCAGTGAGCTCTCATTGCACCCCACTGCTCTCCATCCTGAGCGACAGAGTGAGACCCTGTCTCAAAAACAGATTTAGTCTTACGTATTTTGTTAGTGGTTTCCATTATACATATGGATGTGCTCTGATGCTTTTGACATGAAACTTCCAGATTTGTACATCTTTGTTTTGTTTGTTTATACCAATTAGTCATTATTGGTTCATGAGTACCATCCCCTGTTTTGTTTGTTCGTTTTTGTAAGACTTAATTTTTTTAGAACAGTTTCAGGCTTATGGCAAAATTGAGCAAAAACAGAGAATTTCCATATATCTATTGCCCCCACAAACCCACAGCCTTTCTTACTATCAACACTCCTTACCAGAATAGTACACAGGAGATATGAGAAAAATCAAACCAATACAAACTCAATATAACACAGCACCTCTGCTCACCAATATGTGTGGGGATTTCTGTCGACTAGCAACCAGACAATTCTTTGGCAGACACCAGCTGGATATCCTACATTTTAACTCAATTCTGACATGATTTACCTGGAGATAACATCAGGTACCAGAGGCCGAGGGCTCAGTCCCACAAGGCTGTCCCCTACTTCAATTGCAAGCCCCAGGTTGTATCCTGTACTTCTGGCTGATTAGCCATAAATTGAGGTTACCACAACTCTCTCTTTTGGTTCAGTTAATTTGCTAGGCTGTCACAGAACTCAGGGAAACACTTCATTTACATTTATTGGCTTACTATAAACGATTTTCCTGCCTCAGCCTCCCCAGCAGCTGGGATTACAGGTGCTACCACATCCGGCTAATTTTTGTGTTTTTTGTAGATACATGGTTTCTCCATGTTGACTAGGCTGGTCTCAAACTCCTGA